TACAGATCATTTATCTCCGATCAGTCACCGAGGATCTCAGATAAAGCTATCCCATTTTGCCAAGAATTTTAAGAAAGTAGAATTCCCTAGCCGCTTTCAGACCAAACTGTTCATGGAAGAACAGGAATGCAGCAGGGGGAAAAAGATGCAAAGCCAGCCAGCCATTATTTACTTCTGATTCCTTTTCTTATGAAGTTAGAAAATTAACTAATCACGGAAAGAAGACATTATGAACCAAAGACACTGCCTGATTGCAGGGTTGATTTGGCAAGGCAAGAAACAAATTCCTTGCCTTGCCGAGCAGTCCCAACTCGCCAGTGAAATGGCTTCAAGCTACAGCACAACTGAAAGTGTGCCGGAGGATGTAGAGTTTTCAAAAAGAAAAGAGGCACTTCTAAGTTATTTTATTAGATTGTTACGCAAGCAGCTAACACCTTCAAGTGCTATCTTTTCTCCTATTAAGTCACAGTTAATTATACACATGCCTTTAAAGTCACCACCACCTCCTTTAAAGCACCTCCTTTCCAGAAGTACTGATGGGCTCCTCAAAAATTACATAGATTTATTTGGAAAGCAGTTTCCAAAAGTTAACTTTCTAAATTTCAAAAGCTAGCGGGATGAATGGAAAAGGAGGGGGAGATGGTTGCTGTGGTGTTTAAGAGGTGATAACAGGAGGCAGGTAGTATTTGTTCACATCTTCACCTTTGTTGATAATGTATTCAGTGGCTCATCGGACGTATTTAATGTTAATTTATTCAAGCACACCTGTACAGGGCTGGAAGTCAGGTAACTAGATAAGCAAGTCGCATGCTTCCGCTTTCTTGATCTAACTACCCAGAGGCCTATATCCACACAAATTTAGTTCTGGAAACATCAGCAGATTTTTATAAACCCAATCCAGATGTCTTTCTCCATACAAATCAAGGAGTTTACAAGTTTAAATCTGGACTGATTTAACTAGCAACCTAATGGCAGAATCACACTTGGCACCAATAGTTGCCTCATATTTATTTATAACTCACCCTGAGCAAATATTATTTTGTTTTTAAATTTATTCAGGGGGCTGAATCACCTTTCCCACCTTGCAGACAAACACACATGCTTTTTGTTCTGTGAAAATTTAAAGAGAAATGTTAACAATTAGCATCCTTTGCTCAGAGAGAGGCAATGCATCAAGTTCCTTCCTTTGTAACTTGAAGCAGTTAACTGTGGTAGTGTGGCTGTATTTATTTTACAGGAATCCAGGAACTGAAAAAGTGAAGTAACATGTCTGACCGTGCAGAAGTCATGACCTAGAGGTGTGTAACAAGGAAGATTTATGCTGCCAATTGCTTATAGCAATGGAAAATGGATATAAAATTATTGGCAGGTTTCAGAACGATCAACATGAAAGATGAACATTTCTTCAGCATTTAAATATCTGGGAAGCCCCTTGTGGGCATCTAGCTCTGAATAGTTATAAAGTTTGTGGCCATTCTAGTCTCAAACAGGCCACTGACAAGCCATATTGCCTAGCCATTACTTATCCAAGGCTTCTCTGAAGCTGAAGTTCAAGATTTCTTTGGAAGACTCCAATTCAAGTAAGATCCTGTTTTTATTACGGAGCCCTTGGGGTCATAATAAAAATAATATTATCCATAGGACAAGTGGGTAAACAAGTTATCAAACACCATTCTGAATGTTCAGGTCCATAGCTGTTAAAGTATATTGAATAGGAGAGGCCATATACCTTGAAGAATAAATAAGACGTTAGTGCAAAAAGTATAATCAGTGCTTTACATTTAAGTCTCTTTTTTCTCATTTTTAATGCATGTTACTTAAAGAATAACTCTGCATGGACACAAGCTTATCCTTTGTGATAACTGTCCTCTTTTCTAATAAGATTTATTTGTTGAAAGATTACATTTTCATAGATATAGTCATGTACTCAAGGCATTGAAAAAAGGTCAAATTACTACTACAGAATGGTAGTAGTATGGTATGTTGGATTTAATGGTAGGTACAGTAAATAGTATCTTAGATTTAATGATTAGATTTGACATTCTTCTGTACTAATTACATTAAAAGTGTCACACTTCTGCTACAATATGCTAGAATGGTTTCAACTGGGTACTAATGCCCATTAAAATGATTTAAGTTCACTCCTTTTCTATTATTACTCCTCTAATTATCTGGTAATGAAGTAATACACTGAAGGTTCAAGGCTACCTTTGTTTACTAAGGTCATAAGATTTTCTCAGAAAGTTGAGAAAAAAACTTACTTCATAAAAAAGGTCATTAAGTTAAATAACATTTCAAAGGTCTACATTATCATTTAGAATCAACAACAAGTTTAATGTTGAACTGAAGAATTAATAATGAAACATTAATTCTTAATCTCAAATGTATTTATCTATTCTTAGGTTAGAATTTTCAAAATTCATTATGTTGCAACCAAGTGTAAGATCACCACTAAGTTCCAAAATAACTTTCCTTCAATGTATTTTCTTTTCTGTTCCAGTTAACTCCCAGTTATGGTTAACATCAAGACTGTGAAACAATACATTAAAAAAAAAGTGTAGTTATGATTTATTTATTAAATGTATGCAAAAGCTACCAGTGTTTTTGCTAAACTAACTAGATTTTTGAAATTTATATTATCAAATGTTATATTGTGAAAATCTTACAAATATTTATTATTTTTTAAAAATAAGCATTATTTTTGACTTCCTAGTGCATTACAGTTTACATGTCTGAAGTTCACTTATCACTATAATTTTAGAAATCCAGAGCATCTGTTAGAATGGAAGCAACTGCCTAAATCTATGTACTGTGACTGAGAGAAAAATAAAATTTTGTATTTTAGAATATTATAATCTTCCTGACTTCAGAGAGAGTAACATCATAGTGTTAACTATGCCTTTATATAGCTGATGAGTCGATCTCACTGAATCTATTGGAATTTACTTCCAAGACAAGACAGATCAGGACCTAAAAACTGGAATTAATTCACACAAGGGGTCTAGTATACTAAAAGGATTAACTTTTAAACAATTACTTGTTTTTCATGTTTACTTCAAAATTCTTTGCAAACTCCTGGCCCTTTAAAACATACATATACACTACTTTCTGAAAAACTGGAAGAGTCTAATCAAGAATCCATTTCATTATTTTTTGGGGATCCTGGTCATTTTTAATATTTTGCTATTACTTTTAAACATTAGACAGTTTTAAATGTAGTTTGCTACAGTTCAGATAATCAGCTAAAATGAGGGATGTCCAATTTCTGCACGGCAAGAGTTCTGTTCTTTTGGGATGTATGTCAAGGGTGCCATGTAGATAACTGCCCAATGAAATAAAGATTTCTCTTTTTTTGCTCATCCATTGTTGAAAGCTGGAGGGTGGTGGCAAGCCATGCTTCAGTTCCACCTGTTCAGTCTATCTCCTCCCCTTCTCTCCCTCTGGCTTTGCAAGATAGAACAGCATGCAGCATGCAGACTAACCAAAGCTAATTAAAAGAAACTAGGATTAAACTGTAAGAAGTGTGGGACTTCCCTGAAAAGCATAACGTGGGTGAAGAAGAAAACTGCAGCTGAAATGTGGGGAGGAAAGATCAGAAACACATTTTTTATTATCAGTTGCCACTAAATAATTTAAAACAATTTCACTTAGCAAGACATAGGAACTGATTGCAGTCCAACAGATTATAAAGCAGTTTTCTTTTTCTTCTGTGGCATACCGGTATTGTGTGAACACCAACTGATTATGCTTCTAGTATTAATTAACATTCTCTGAGCAGCATTATTGTTTTTTTTAATGTTATATTTATATGTATGCATATTTGCTGCATGTATAAGTTTATGTGTATTTAAACCCATAAGTATAGAAAAGCTGTTTTAGCCTGCCCCTGACCCACTTTGGCAAATTCCATCTACCTTACTTTTTGGAATAAAAAGGGAACTCAACTATTTAGAGCCAGCTGCTTCTGTTTAAACTAAACTATTTCAGACTTGATGTAGCATAACTGTTGTGTGATATCATCTAAATGTTCAGCAGAAGAAAAGGTCCTTATTAATTTTAAAAAGATGTCTGAGTGCCTCTTCGTTTATGTGTATGTAGTGCTCAGCTGAACAAATTGGGATTTACCATTACCCTTGCAGGGTAATGCTGTATTCACACCTGTATGAATAAAAGACTCTACATCAAATTGCTTCTTTCATTCATTTAATGGGGTTTGTCCAGATCTACAAGCCTGCATTTCATCATGATTATCATGCATGTGGATTATTAATAGGATGCTTCAGAGGTGCCCTCATGAAATGCTAAAATCTATCATCAGTGGTCACCACTTGTTTTGTGGCTTAGGTTTTAAGAGTTTTCATGCCACTGTTCAAAATTGAAATGGCAACTTTCAAATACTTGAGTAAAGAAAAAAAATGGAATCGAACAGTACTATCTGTGTACACAGGAATATGTATGCATTTCTGTCTACTGTCTCATCATCGATCCAACAAATTTACATTCTCCTATGCATGAACGGTCTATATGGAATAGAGAAATAATCACCCTGAGAAAAGGGAGCTTTGTTTACAAATGGAAAGAACAGTTAATTAAGACACACAGAAAAGCAGTGAAGAACCTACAGTCCTATTATACTGCATTTGCATGTCCATTTCATTATATAATACAATGGTTCAGTGTTTGCATACAGATCTAGAGATCAAGAAAAACAAGAAACAAAGCTAATGAAAGATTTCTTGGTTCGAGGAAAGGCAACATGGTATTCTTTAGTTATTTTTGTATGACAACTCCCATTATCACTGCCCACTGATATGCGGATTGGGAATTATAATCAAAATATCTAGAGGCTACCAGGTTGCTTACCTAGTCTTATATTAAAGGAATATGCCATCCTTTAAATATACTCAGCATAAAGCCTAAGTTTGGCTTTCTTAGGCTCTGGCTTAAGGGAAAAAAAAACAACCCCAGAAAATCAGTTAATAAATTCAATATTTACTGACCTGTCTCTGCTTCTTCGGGAAGGGAAAGCAGCATTGCACCCAGCCACTGTGCAGACATGCATCTCCTTTAAGTGAACATTCCTATAATGGAGTTTCACGCTGTAGGAACTCTTGAAACTCTTCTTGCACACATAGCAGATCTTGGGATCTGGACTCGAGCACAAATCGCCTTCTGGAGAGAATTTCTGGGGGCTGTTATAACTGAACGATGAAGCGAAGCTTTCATGGAGCGCAGCCATGCTGGCACTGCCTCCATTATAAAGTCCGTATTGGCTCATGTAAAACATCTCATATGTAGGGTCTGTAAACTCTTCCTTGACTTTAATGTCACCGGGGTGGGAAGCATCATTGTGGTTTTCATCCGGTCTGTCATGGTTCATCATCGACTTGCTACTTCTTTCATGGATCATGTGTTCATCCCCTTCCATGGATTCCTCACACAGTTTTGGCTCTGAGGATTCAGACTCATTTTCATAGTCCCTCTCGTGCTCTTGGTCATCTGATGTCATACTATCTGTCCTTCTTAGCTCTGTCCTTGAAATGCACCTGTTTTGCCCATTTTTGGAGAAGTCCTTCACGGACAACCCCGGGCTCATCTCCTCCTGAGAATGGCAATGATTGTCATGACCCCCATCGTGGGTTATGCTTCTGTTATCATTAACTTCCTCGTCTTCGTAATCAAACTCATCGGCTGTGTCAATGATTTCCTTCTCTATTTTGACAGGCATGCTTGACTTTCGTGGCTTTTTCTTAGGGGCGAGGTCAGCACTTGTCTCTTGAAGGGGCATCATGGCTGTGGGCAGTGTTGATTCTGAAGGGAGAGAAGACTGTTCCATTGTGCCAGTTATTGGCATCAATGGACTAGTTGGTAACGAGGTGGGAGGGCTCACCATCTCCCCAGGCGTAAGTAAACTTCTGTAAAATGGAGGAACCGGCTGTACAGTCTTTAAAGCGGGAAATACAAGGTGGCTAGGAAGAGGGTTTTGTAACACAGGATCTAATGGGGGAGTGGTAAAACCCATCGGAGGTCGCCCAGGACTTGTTAAGGTTAGATTCGATTTTGTACTTGCTATAACAGGAGTGGCAGCCCCGGATGTAGCACGGATGAGATCCTTGTCTCGATTGTTTCTTAACATGGGCATATGAAGTCGGGGATTGGGGTTAGCACTGTGGCGGTTGCGACTTCTAAGGGAACTGAATACCATGTTGCAACCCTCGATCGTACACCGATGTTTGATCTTAAGGTGGACTGCGTTGTAGTGGATTTTCAGGGTCCCCTTGTCGTAAAAAGTTTTCCCGCATGCGTTGCAAAAGACTCTTCCTTTCCGGGAGGCTGAGCCCATCCTTCGCATTCTGTGAATCCTGAAAGAGTTCTTGGTATGTTCGGGTTTGGATAAATCATTGACAGGGGTCGAAGTCTGAACCGGGGAAACGGAAGTTGGCTCGCTTTTGGGCTCTACGTTGGTGATGCTGGTCAAGGCATTCCTGCTGGAGGTTTGCTCGTTCTTGAAAGGGGCTGGGGAAACATCAGACTCACTGCTTTCATTAAATTCATTCTGAGTTGAAAGGTTTGGCTCACGCAGCCTCAGCGTTGGCTGTTCCAGCAGGAGCCCATTTGGAGGCAAGCCCAGTAGTGGAGCGGAGACAGGATTTATGTATTGAAATGGTAGCAGGAATGCTAGGCTGTTTGGGATGTTTTCGAAATGATGAATGCTGGAAGGGTTGCTGTTCTCCAAGTGAGCAAGGAGACTTGGGCTCCTGGTTCGATTATTGCTTTCAATAAAAGTCCGTATGTCTGAGTCTGTCTTTGAAGATGGAACAGCCACGGCTTGCCCTTCTTTTTCTTGAATTGCCATCAGCTCCACAATGGATTTGGTTTCTCCAAACCTCAAAAACTGCTGAAGGGTAATAATCTCTTCTTCCCTGGACATGATGGCCCAGCGGTCCAGCACTTTGCCTGCAGCATCCTAGAGGCCATATCAAAGAAACAACAAAGACAAACACAAAAGAAGAAAAACCTTATTGATTCTGCATAATTATTGATTTCGATTGAAAGGGCTGTTCTGACTGCTCATCAAACACTAAGCTCTGAATACCACATGTGAACACTTTGTTGAAAGCAAACTTTGCTACCAAGCAAACATAATAATTGCAGGAAAAGAAACACAGTGATTTAATTGTGTCAGAACAAACATTAATGTAAACCTCTGGTTTTTGTGAACTGAGCTACTGTCAGTAATATCTCTTGTGAACTAAACTAAGTGATCCTTTATTTTTATTTTTTGAACAATAAATGCTTATATACCATACAATTACCATTCATTAATAAGAGAAGGTAATCTTTCACTACGCATTGAATCAAAATGTCACGGATTGTACCTTCAATCCTTGTTAAACAGTGTCACACCAGGAAATATTTGAAATATACATTTAGTGACATGCAGTTTATGTCTTTGATATGCAATTCGGAAGGTTTGTTTTTTTAAGCAAATTAATAAATATAACATATAGCTAGACATTATAATTGAGGTGGAAATTTAAAAAGGCAACATAAAATATTACAGAAAACTTTAAGATATTTTCCTCTTCTCAAGGAAGATTTAAAATTTAATTTTATAATAACCATTTTTTTTTTAAAAAAAAGGCAAATGTTACTGTTTTGATTCATGGAATTGCTGTTCTTGTGTAAACTAAATTTGGTTAGAGTGAAAATGTGATGACTTTTCACCATTTTTTAATAAATAAAAGTAGCAAGCATTTTTAAAAGTAAACATCTGATCACTGCGGATGTCATAAATGTGTAAAAATGTGTTTTAATATTACCTTTTGATAGCAAAGGAAAAATCCAGGGAGAATACACATCAGTAATCACCAGACTATCTGTTGTTAAATATACATTAAAAAGCATTTCACACTTTCATTTTCGCTAGTAAGTAGGAGGTTTGCCTCAAGGTAGAACTTAAAAATTCTGCACTGTAATATCAGACCATCCTCTCTAACAGCATGTATGTGTGAAAGCAAAAGACTGTTTAGATAATAAATATATTGTTTCTTCGGCAATTTTTCTAGTTAAGTTCATGCCAGCCATATTGCCAACTTTTAGAATTTTGCTGGCAAACCCTTTTCCTGAGCATGAAGCAGTCAATAAGTTGGTACCTGTCTAGCTCAACCTCTTTTGTTGTTGTTTTGGTCTCTAAGTAGACTCCTCCCTCCCTAAAGTGCAGAAATATCCATAACTGCTACTCTCTATTAAACCACACAAAACAAGTGAGTGGAATATTATCCAATGATAATATATACATAAACAGTAGAGGGTGTTTCATTCCTTCAAGCTGACAATCCATAATTATGAAATTCATTACAGGTAATCCTTGACTTACAGCCATTCGTTTAGTGACCATTCCAAGTTACAACGGCATTGAAAAAAGTGACACGACCCGTTTTCACACTTTATGTCCGTTGCAGCATCCCCATGGTCACATGATAAAAATTTGGGCACTTGGCAACCAGCATTTACTTAAGACAGTTGCAGTGTCCTGGGGTCATATGATCACCAGGGGTAACTATTCCAACTGGCTTCCAACAAGCAAAGTCAACAGGAGAAGCCAAATTTACATAACAAGTGCATGGTTCACTTAAAAATGTGGCAAAAATGACCATAAAATGGCACAGCTCACTTAACAATAATCTTGTTTAGCAACATAAATGTTGTGCTCCATTGTGGTTTTAAGTTGAGTACTACCTGTACTATACAATATATAGTAGAAGGACATTCAAGGAAGGCAACTCGGTTGATTCCTACTAGCCTGGAGAGCTAAATGGAGATGTTATGCTCAGAAGTATCTTGTACGTTTATGCCTGTAGGTATGTTTTACAGAGATACCAAACTGGACAGTTACTTAAAGAAAATTGATTGATTGTCTAATCCAGCACAGCTCTATTTAAATTCCTGACCTACTTATGTTCTCACTTGAAGTAAAATTCTGATAGTCATCTCATTAACTTAAAGGAGAGGAGGATGAGGAAGAAGAGAGGAGGAGGGGGAGAAGGAGGAAGATGAAGATGAAGATGAAGATGAAGATGAAGAAGAAGAAGAAGAAGAAGAAGAAGAAGAAGAAGAAGAGGAGGAGGAGGAGGAGGAGGAGGAGGAGGAGGAAGAGGAGGAGGAGAAGGAAGAAGAAGAGGAGGAGGAGGAAGAGAAGAAGAAGAAAGAGGAGGAGGAGAGGAGGAGAAAGAAGAGAGGAAGAGAAAGAAAGAAGAAGAAGAGGAGAAGGAGGGTGAGGAGGAGGAGGAGAAAGAGAAGAAAAAGAAAGAGGAGAAGAGGAGGAGGAGGAGGAAGAAGAAGAGAAGAGGAGGAGGAGAGGAGAAGAAGAGGAGGAGGAGGAGAAGGAGAAAAATTGCTATGGATGTGGTACAGTGAATTTCAGTTTAGTTCAAATATAAATAGGATCAAAGCCTTAAGTATCCCCTTCTGAACACTGATAGTTCAAGATCCTGGAGCTCCTTATGAAGTGTGTATGTCCAGAGGACAGTTAGCTTGCACTTTCCATCATTTCAGAGTTTTTTTCAAATTCTACATTTTAATTGTTTACCTGGAAACATTAAAATGTTGCACTTGCTTCAAAGAAACCACAATGGTATAAAAACAAATTGATCATACCTCTAAAAGAGGATATTGGTGAATAAATAGATACTCAACAAATACTTAAACCAGATATTGGGGGTTTTTTTTAATTTTTTTTTTAAATTTTAATTCATGCTATTGCTATTTAATATTTCTCCAAATCAAACATGCAACAGCTCTTTAAAAGCAATGATCAGTTGAAAAAAAATATTAGACCCGCCACTTTTCAATGAAATAAGTTTTTTCAGTACATTTCCTCAGTTGTATCCTTTTTCTTGTTCCTATTACATTCTAGAAAACTAGGTCAGAACATGTATGTTTTATATAATACTGTACATATGTGCTGTATTATAATCAAAGCAATGTTCACATAATGCTAACTGAATGAAAATTAGTAATGCATTACAATTTAGAACTAGATAAGAAGGAATAGGAATATTTTAAGATTAAAAGTTATAAGGAACCAAGACAAGAGTCCCTTTGGAGTTTGTTACAAACTAGCTGTGGATTCCTTGGGGTATTGTAATGCTCAGCTTGAGCCTCATATCATGTCTTCCGTGTAACTCGTTTTGGCTTCTCTCATGACTTTCCCCAATGCCATTAAATTTTATCAACATTTACTTTTTTCATTACAAAAGATTCCAATTTATATTATTTCAGTCAACTCATGACTGAATAGATAAACCTCTTGGGACAGTGCAGACAGGAAATTCAAGGAGTATCCATGCTGAGAAAGTCCATAAGATCTGTGTGCCATACATCTGCAGCAGATGATTCTGCTTCTTGGTTGTCTAAAGTGACACACTAGTTGCTCCATTTCTACACAATAGAATTGTGCTGTCTTCCAATTTTAGAGAGAAACTTCTAATTCAACTAAGATTAACATATTCGCAATTTATAGCTTTTAATGATTCTTTCACCCATGTATTATTTCTTTCTCTATAACAGCATAAATAAAAAACAGATCCAGCTACACCTACACATCGTATAGACACACAAACACACATACACACACAAAGAGAGAGAGAATGAGAGAGAGAGGAAGGGAGGAAGGGAAGGGAAGGGAGGAGAGAGAGAGAGAATGAATTTCTTATTGGGTCAGTGAAATAATGTCATATTAATCATCCTGCACATATCTTCTGCTTTTACCTGACCCAAAGGTGAGGATGAGATATGTCAGGACGTAAAGTGTCCTAACATGTAGGTCACCTAAGAATGAAAGATAACCCCTTTTTGTATCAGAGATGATACAAATAGGGTTAGAAATGTTGACCTTTCAGCCCAAGATTCAGTGTAATTTTCAGCACTTTAATTTAGAAAGGGAATATCCATGGACTGGGATGAAACTACAGGAGATATGATTTCCTTGAGGGCTTCTGCTTCATAAATAAAGTTTTTGATACAACATGAACAAATTTATATCTTATTTTAAGAGATAAACACATTTCCAAGAAATACGTGTTATTTTTTTGTTCTTAAAAAAACACCTGGATTTCTTTTTTTTATCACCGTAAAATGAGAATATATTACATATTCTATATATTAATTATTATATATCAATATTTGAGATCTGCTATAATTTTCCTCATTTGCTTTTTCAACATGGATACTTAAAGCTGAATGTATATATCCATGTAGCCTATTATTATGTGACAATTTCCAAGAAGCATTTGAACAGCATTTATTTCATCATTTGTATATAATTACAATTTTGGATACTGCAATTTAATGAGAATATACTGTGTAGATTGTACACACACACACACACACATACATACGTACATGTACACACACACACACACACACACACACACACACAATTGTTCACAATTAACTTTGCATAGTGTATAATCCACTACTGAGCTAACTTTCACAGAATTTTCAGAATGCTGAAAATTTAGAACTAGCTAGTGCTACATGATATATCTATGTATTGTATCCACAGTCACCCTACTATATCTTCCTGAAGGTACTGTTAAGCTAAATTATTTTCTAATGTAGGCCAACATTATATGTTGATACCTTATGGACAGTTAAAATCATATATTGCTTGAAATTAGTCTGATATCCCACATTTTCACAGCCATGATGTAGGGGTAGGGTTGATCAATGCATATGAGTTCACAGCGTTAAACTGTTGGATGTTCCAAGGATTAGAATTACTGTACTAAATACTGACAACTGCAAGTAGTCCTTGACTTACAACAGTTCATCTAAAGACAGTTCAAAGTTACAAAGGCACTGAAAAAAACTGACTTATGACCATTTTTCACACTTGTGACCTTTGTAACATCCCTATGATCATGTGATCAAAATTCAGGTACTTGTCAATTGGTTCACACT